GGAGGGGGATGGAAATGGGGGACATTTGTACTACTGTCAACAATAAAGTTTTTTTTTTTAAGTCCCATTACTTCCTCTGGCAGTCCACACTCTGCTGGCCTCGTCAGGGTTATCACTGCATGTACTGAGAAGAATGAAACACATTTTTCTAGAAGTATAAGGCCTATTGATTTTTCCCTAACATTGGTTACCTTCTATGTAACCCTGGTTATAGGAGGTTGAATTATACAAGGCAAATAGATCAGATAATTTAAGGTTTCTTGGTAACATTTCTTAAGACTCACATGTAGAATGTTCTTCTATGGAAGAGCATGACCTTGCTCTTGTCCCTGAGTCATAGCATTGTCACAGCACCGCCTCACCCCACACAGCCTGACGCAATGCTTCCTCTTTCCTGTAACATGATTGCTGCTACACATCTAGAAGTCAGACTGCGCTTCGTGGAGGCAAAAGTGCAGAGCCTCACAACTACAAGTGGGGTGAGGGGGAGGGGAGACAGACTAGCATTTATTGGACACCTCCTGAATGCCAGGCACATTACATGTAATTTCATGTCATCCTCACAACAGTCCCACAGAGCAGCTATTATTCCCATTATACATCAATGGAAACTGAGGCGCAGGGAAGTTTAATAACAAACTTGAGGCCACACAGCTCCTAAGACAGAGGGTCAAATATTCAACTCTAGGCCTCTATGACCAAAAGCCTGGACTCTGTCCAGCTCACTCCATGCTGCCAACCTTCTGGAGATTTGGAAACAGTATGAAGTCAGAATGTTCACTTTGCCACTGGATATCTGGAGTTGTAGAGACAAAGTCCCTATTATTCGTGATCGTGGGCCATGGCTGCTAGGACTGCCAAGGCCATAAACTTTAATCTCTTGTTTGGGGAAACAGAAATTATACCTCCCGTATAGGAATTAGATCCTGTCTCCTCTGGCCAGATGCTCAATGAGGGCAGAGGGAAGGATGCTTGACCAGCACTGTAGATCCGTGGGACGGGGAATACAGATGGAGTCCACACAGACAAGAACAAGGGCTTGGGAGACCTGGTTTTGAGACCTTACTGCTGTGTGACCTGGGGCAATGCACTTACCCTCTCTGAGCCTCAGCTTGCTTATCTGTAATATCAGACTATTAAGAGTACCACTTTCACAAGATTGTGGAAAACCCTCAAAGCGGGGCCTGGCACTCCATACATGAGCCTATGATTGTTTTATTTGTTGTTTTCATGAACATTGTGGGTGAGGAAACCAAAGCCTTGGATAAGCACTTGGAATAGTATCTGAAACACAGTAGATGTTCAAGAATCACTGGCTGTGATTGTTAATACAATGAGCACCACAGAAGATGGATTTTGCTTGTTTCTCTGGCTGCCTCCACCACCCTTTACATTTACTATGAAGGTGACTTAAAAGGCCGAAGATGGACTACTGTTCATGCTAGTTTCGATTCACAGGTAGTATTTCAGGTATCCTTTGGAAGGGAAGTGCCTTATTAAAGTAATTCCCATTTGCCTACCTAATGGGTGCTTGAGAAGTGGAATGAAATATTGCAGGAAAGTGATTTATAAGCATAAAAAAGTTTGTGCATGGGGTGCAGGGAGGACTGATGTTATTGATGTAGGCAAAGCTGATTTTGAAAGTGGATGGCATTTGACTTGTAAGGCTTGGGCTTTGTCCTGCCTGAGTTTCCCTTTGGATTTATGTATCTCTGTTACCTGCCTGAGTTCTTTCAGGGGAGAATAATTCTTATAAATAACCCAGTCCAGTATCTAGTGCCAGGCATTTAAATAAGTACTTTTAAAATTCAAGTCCTAATTTTTTCATTCTTAGTTAGAGAAAATGAAAAAGGAACATCAGCACTGAAGGGACTTCGAAGGTAATCCAGCCCAACCTTTTCATTGAGTAAACTGGAGACTGAGTCTGAGTAGTCGAGGCTGTCATCTGAGACCTATGGCAGGACTGGCCGTGTCTACAGCTTAGACTTTCCGAGTCCAAAGGTCAGAGATCGCCACCGAACTCTAATGCCTTTCAATCCTTTCATTAGTTGAGCACACAGTGACCACACGATGTAGATGTGGAAGGACCAGGCTGGAGTCTTGCCGGGAGAAGGTGGGCAGGCTTGGTGGGTGGGATACAAACATTTAGGGCACTGAGGACTTTCTCTTGAAAGACTTAGGGGGGTAACTTAACAATTGATCTTATGTTTCTTCTACCTGATGATCCTTAAAGATATTTAGAGATTTATTTTGCTTTGTGCTAGGGCTGGGCCATTCAATACAATTGCTGCTAGCCACATGTGGCTATTTAAATTTAAACTAATGAAAATGAAATAAAATATAAAATTCCAACTAGCCACATGTACAGTGCTCAGTAGCCGCTTGTGTTTGGGGATGGGACAGGACAGATGTAGGACGTTTCCATCATCCCAGGAAGCTCTCCTGGACAGCCAGCTGTGTTCTAGGGGGCTGGGTGAGCACAGATCATGGGAGCTAGGCTGCAGCTTCTGAGAAGGCGGACCTGCCAAGCTAAGGGGGATGACCGCCCTCTGGGGTGCACGGAAAAGACGATTATCCCCGTGAGAGTGAAATCTGACGAAGGCCTCTTCTGCACAATCAGGGTAGAAACATTCCTGAATCATTTCTGTTTGTGAAGCCTTTTCTGGTCAGCCCCTCACATTTTTCTTTCCTCCTCATACAAATCAGATAAATTCTTTAAGGAAAAGCCACCTAACTTCTTCTGTTGGGCCGCATCGAGTATCTGCCAACCCAACTGACTCCTAAAACCATTGTTGGCTCTTAAGGACAGTGAATAAAGTCCAATTTTCATGGCAAGTTGCAATTCCAGGACTCTGGCTACATGAAGAACAGCAAGGAAAGGTGACGTGGGCTATGGCAGGGATGGGAAGAGCTGAGGGAATAACAGGGCCCTACATCAGCACCTTTAAGATGATGCCACTGAGCTTCAAGACTCTTCTAGGGAAAGGGTGGCCTGCTTCTTGTTTTTAATCTTCTCTCTCCTACCCAGTGCTGACAGCATAGCTGCCCCTCAAAAGATGTTTGCTGGGGAAATAAATGCCTGTTGTAGGTCCCTACTTTCAACCCAACTTTCTTTGTGGAAAATAAGATTCTGTATCTCTCTAATGTGTAACGCTCAAAGCAGAAAGGCCCCTGCCTTTAAGAGGATTAAAAGAGGTGACTTCAGAAACACAGTGCACATTAAGGGGCCCGTGAAGCCGTAACCGCCCTTCAGCCGCTTGGCAAATCTGTTTTCTATTATCAGATCAGGACACGGTAATTTATGGCGTCCAAGCAGCTACTTTCCTGGTGAGGTCCTTGCTGTGCCAGATCCTGCGTGTCCCTGTTTGCCCTGTTGCTAGGGTGACCGCTGCCTCGGGAAGAGGGGGAGGGCAGCAATCGGGCCCCTTTATGCGGCTCACATGATGGGGAGCGACGTGTGAGCTAACCTGACACACTGCGGGGACTCCAGCTGCCCTTGGGGACAGCTGAGCTGCTTCTCTGAGGTATCCCCCACCGACAGCACCAGGGGCCCCGTTTCTATGGTGACATGTGCAGAGCTCCTGGACTGGATACGTGAGCAGAGGCGACGCATTCTAGGGCCTGGGACAAAGGACTGATCTCCAACAGGCAATTCATAGTTAACTGAGCAAAAGCAACCGCAGAGAAAACAAGGACGCTGAGGGAAAGTATGAAGATTCTTTGTAAGGGGTCCCTCAAGTCACATTATTTGAATTCAATTTAAAAAAAAATCTCTTTCACTTAGTCATAGAGACTTCTAGGAGGGCTTTCAGATTTTCTCTCCTCGGTTTTGTTCCTTATACAGTCAGCTACCATGACTGCTTTTTTTAATTATGCCCTCAAAGGTACAGAGAGCAACACAGCTCTCCGACTTTAATATAGCACTTTTATTAACTTGTACCAGTGTCAGGTGGCATTATTTAATTTCCTCAGGTAATCAGAGATACTACCTGGACCACACACAGCAATGGAATTAGGTATTTGCTATTTTCTAAAGGCAACGAGAAGGATTCCATCATTTTCTCCAGTTCTTCACCTAAACCCAGGGCATTTTCTGGCCTGTTAGATGATCCAGTGATACAATAAAGGGGAATCTCACTTGGAAATGAGATTCTTCTACCTTATAAGAAGAAATCTCAAGGGACACTTATAAGAGGTTTAATGTTCCTTATGCATATGCTCGGAGGATAAAAACGCATCTTGAGAGCATCTTAAGCAGGAAATTGAGACTTATATTTGTGAGTACCCTTGTCCAAGTTCATTTCTTCTGTTGCTAGAATGGCTATTTTCCTTGACTTCACTGTAGGTGGTGTTATTTCTGGAGCCTGGTCACAGCTAAACCAGATATACCTATTGTTGTTTAAATAACTTCTGAAACAATAGGCCTTGTTTGAGGTAGGGAGGGAGGCGGACCTTTGAGGATATGAAAACCATCCCCATGTCAGTTCTAGGAATGTGTCTGTCTTTATTCAGACTTTCCTAGGGGAAGTTCTCCATTGTTTCATAGACCTCACTGTCAGGGAGCTCTCCCAGGCCATGAGGAATCCTTTCAATGGCTGTGTCCAGAAAACAGTGTCCTTACAAACAAACAAACAAACAAACAACAAACACATAAACTCAATGCCCATTTTAGTTAAGAGTTCTAGAAATTTCCATGGGTTTCAGGCAGGGGATGATCAATCCCTGAATCTTTATATGGTGTTTTGTGCATTGTGAATGCACTTAATAAATATTTGTTTAATATATCAATGAATGAGTATATACTTTTATGCCTTTCTGGTGAGGTATTTCCTAACTTTCATCAGCTAGAGTCTCCATGAGCTTTAAATTCCAAAATAATTAAGATCCCCAAGATTTTCAACCACTACTGAAAAGTGGAGGTCCAGATAATTACAGTGTCTCCTTCTCTTAAAGAGCGTGCCAGAGCAGGGCTTCTTCAACTGTACCATGCACATGAATTTCCAAGACCTTGTTCAAGCAGACTCTGACACAGGAGCTCTGGGTGGGGCCCGAGATTCTGCATTTCTAACAAGTCCCCAGGATGCTGAGGCTGCTGGTTCCAAGGACTAGGCTCTGAGCAGCAAGGACATGAAGTTTAAGTTTTAATGATGCCCTTCCAAAGTCAAAGGCTCCGAGGAGCATCCCCTTACCTTCTTCGACTATTGACTGCGATGCAAACTGCGAGAATCAAAGCCAGGGCCAGGAGGGATGCCAAGATGATCAGCCATTCTGGTGGGAGCAAAGAAAAAGACGCCCATGAACTTGGGAAACACATTTTGTGAAAACAAACACACACTTTATAAAAAGGACCTGGTCCAAACAAGAACCACAGTCAGTACTATGGATAAGTCCGACCAAATGGCCCAGTCAGCAGGCAGGTAATATTGGAAGAGCGATTTTGCTGTCCATGTTTGTCCAACTGGCCTTTTGTTTTAATCTCTCACCATCAGTCGGGATTTCCAAGTCCCTCAAGGAAAACTATGTTTTCAAAAAAACTGTAGAATGGCCTGTTGAAATGTGTAGATGCCCTTGGTACAATTATTAAGTAGACTGAAGAAAATGTTCTTCCCTTGAAAAGAACATTCCTTTCCTATATAAGAGCATCCACCTTACATTTTATTAAGAAGCAAAACTAGAGGCCACATACTAGTGAGTGGGAGAAAGGACAGTCCTGTGGGTGGTTGAACTTGTCCACCTTCACTGGGGGGAGGAAGGGGGACATATGGCAAAACTTGTCAAAATCCTTCAAAATGCACATGCTTTTAGCGTCGTTTTTCCCCCACAGCTCGAAACTCACCTGGAATTAGAGGTTTCCTCATAGGACCAGAGGTCGTGTTGGCCCTGCCTTCTTGACTCCCACTGGAGTGTCCTAAGGAGAAAAACGACATCTCTCAACCCACGTTTGGAGGGGACAACCAGGCGTACAGAGTGGAGCACAGGGCCAGCCCCTGGACCCGCGAGTGGTTTACACATTCCGGCCACAGGCATTTATAAAGTGCCACATGAAAGGTGTCTCCCCAGAAATGTTGTTCGATTCAGGCTAATGTATTATTGTAACATGCTAACAGGCTATTGAAACATGCTTTGTTTTTGAAGACTGAGCATTTTCTTCTGCTGCAAAGCAAAATAAGGAAACAAAGAAAAAATCTCAGAGGAAAGGAAGCATCCACAAGTCGGAACAGGGGGCTCACCAAAATGAGGGAGGCGTCACGTCTTCAAAGAAACTCTGGGCATTCTGTGAAGGGACTCACCCAAAGGCAAGCTCTGCTTTTCCTTTGTGATTTTTATGCTTCCTTTACTGCTCCAAAACAAATCTGAAGATATCCCACTGAAATGAACTGTTTTTTCCCTACCAAATGGGATGCTGCTGCAGAAGCCCGAAGTCTTCAAGGGAAGAAACAAAACAGGGCAGCCTGTCTGGGTAGCCAAAGAATGATGATGGCTGGGCCTTGAAGGAAAAGCTCTCCTAAGAGAGTCAAACTTCAGACAGTGCACAGCATGCACTGAAGTCCTGATTACGGTGGTTATTTGGGGTAGGGTGGCTCTTGTTTATGTGATCTGACATTCTTGTTAAACTCAAGTTTTATCCTACGTCTGGCCATTTCAATATACCCCATGCCGTTTTGACAGTGGTCTCTCACTTTGCAAACCTCAGGAGTCCAAGACAGTTCCTCGAGCTGCCTACCAGAGTCCTTGGTCCCTGGCAGGCGTTCACCAGCGCAGGTCAGGGGATATTGCCCTTCTAAACTGGAGATTGTTGGCCTTGAAAACCATTTCAGAGGTACAGTTGCTCTCACCGATCTTTCCCTGACTCACAGCAGCCTTTGATATTTGAAAGGGAGGCCATTAATGGATCATAATCTCTTTATTTCGATTTTCCCAAAAAGCGCTCCCAGCAAGGAAAGATCTGGGTGTGTTTGCAGGCAGATGAAACCTCTGGTTGGAACAATAGACACCTGCACCGGAGTGAAAACAAAAGAGAGGGCTCCCGCCCACTTGGTTCTCACTTCAAGCAAAACCAGGAAGATGGACTAGATACAGCAGGTCTCGCCTTGAGCCCCAGGGGTCTGCAAATGCAGCTAGGAAAGGGCTGGCGGGGGAAAAGCAAGTTCTGCAAAGAGGAATGCTGATACTGCAGTTGGGAGGTGAGATCCAATCCGGCGTGTGCGCGGAGAAAATTCGATTGGCTTTCACTGTGAGAAAAACAGTCTAGGGCAGCGCTGGTCAAGCCTTCATACAGGTGCAGTCCACCTAGTGGAGGGGCAGGATCTTGGTTCAGCAGGTCTAGGATGGCTGGGGGTTCTGCACATCCGACCAGCTCCCAGGTGATGTCTCTGCTGTTGGTCCAAGGACCACACTTAGAGTAGCTGGAGAGTCTCTTGATTTTAGGGTGATTGCCTCTTACTTACAGCCCCTTATCATTTCCAAAATACTTTCAAATTCCTGATACCTCATGTTCTTCGAAAGAACAACAGGAGGTAACTTTGGCCAGTTTTCTGATCTCTTTTTTCTAATAAGGAAACTGAGGTTAGGAAAGGCACATCCGACCAGCTCCTAGGTGATGTCTCTGCTGGTGGCCCAAGGACCACACTTAGAGTAGCTGGAGTCTCTTGATCTTAGGGTGCATTGCCTCTTACTTACAGCTCCTTATCATGCCCCACCCCAGGCCCCCACAGAGCCTGGGACTTCTGTCCTTACTTTAAAAGCATTTCTGATGAGCCCCCCCACCCCTCTCCTCTTACATAAAAGGTTATTACTAAAACCACCATGCAAATATCCATCTTCACTGTGCTTTAAGTGCGTGAACCTTTAAGCCTGGAGGCAACTCTACTTCCAATGTAGGCTTGAAGGGGAGGACAATGGTTCATAAGGATGACCTGGCCTGCATGGGGCACCTGGACTGATGATGCTCAGGGACATCTGGGTAAGACAGCACCAGCCCAGCCCTTGAGCAGCCCCAGCGTTAGTGGTCACCAGTAAACCTGCTTCGTGACAGACTTTTGCTGCCTGGAGTAATGTTTCCAGGAGTGTGCTCTGAGTCACAGCAAACAGGAATCCATTAAAAATGCATGCCCGGTAGTAATTATGGTCATCACAGAGCGCTTTCTCCAGACTGTGCTTATGAGAGGCGATGTGAGAGCCCCTAGGTTTGGAACGTGGCTCCACCACTCAACTCACTAGTCATGCCAACTCAGCTAAGCTACTTAGTGCCTCTGGGCTCAGTGTCCCCTGTAATACGGCGATAACAATAGTACTGATGTAGGTCTCAGGGTAGGTGGGATGATTCCATGAGTTAATAATAGATGAAACATACAAAATATGCTTCATTTCATATCTGACTATTGCCCTACAGAAATGGCAGTTTGATATGGTCCAACCTAATATATGTAAAGTGTGCGGAACAATGCTACTGGCACACAGTAAATTCAGATCACAGCTAGTTATTATCCCATGTGCTGGGGGTTATGCTAAATGCTTTCCTGCATTCTGTCGTTCACTCTTTTAAACAAGACCCTGTGACAGTTATTATTATTCCAATTTTGTAGGTTAGGAAATTGAGTCTCAGATCTTCTATGCAACATCCCCAGTTTGTATGTGGAGGAGCTGGGATCAAACCCAAGCCATCCTTATTCCAAAGCCCATGTATTTAATCACTCTGGTGTAGTGCAATGTTAAATTGAGACCCTGCCTGGATTCCCCCTGATCCTGTCAGATGGAAGAGTTTTCTCCAAAGCAGTAGTTCTCAACGTACAGCCCCTGCTCCATCATTATCAGTGTCGCCAGGGGACTTATTAAAAGTACACATGGTCAGGCTCCACCCCAGGCATACAGAATCAGAAACTTTAAGGATGGGGCCCAGCAGCGTGATTTAATAGGCCTCCCCGCGACTGTGACTGATGCTAAGAAAGTTTGAGAACCCCTTTTCGAGAGATGCTGACCCACATACTTCATTAATAATCAGCAGGTTCAATGATGATGACAGTAAACGACTAAAGCAGCTCAAACTCACCAGTTGATTCAGATCCTTTGGTGGTATGGTGCCTCCCGCTGGGGTGGTGAGATGGGTCTTGATCTTCTGTAAGGAACAATCAGAGAAGGTTCAGTGCTGTGTGTTCCGATGACACTGCCACCGGCATTTCCTCACGTTTGCATTTTCATGCACTTTGCTTTCATCACCAAGCTTAGTCTTTTAAAACTAAGCAAAATGATAGCACAGGAGCCTTGAATGGGTCTACAATACAAATTGCTATTCATTTATTAATCCGCTGGTAAGTGGGCTAGAGCTTTCATCAAAATTAAGAAAACTGGTTCAGCACAGACCGTCAGGCTGACCACAGGAAGTGTGGCTTTGGTAGAAACCCAGTAACTGTAACACATGAACAAAAATATCATGATGTCTTCACAGATCTGTGTTGAGATTTGTGTCTTTGAAATAGGGACTCTATGCTTTGAATGATGACAAATGTGATTGCTGGGAATGGGTGTATTCTGTGGCTTAGGACATGAGACATTTAAAGAGAGTTCTCTGAGGCAGGAAATAAAAAAAGGTTTTGGTGTGCAGTAAAAGATCTTGGGGTTGAATTTTATAAAGATTCAAAGAAAAAAGTCAATTGTTTACTTAAAGAAAAATGTCTGAACACAAGTGAAAAAGAAATGGGGGAATGATAGCTAACGTGTGACTGATGTATACCTGGTTTTTAGAATATGTTTCAAATAGTAATATTTTTCAAAAGTGAAATCTGCATTTTCAACACCAAGAGTTAATATAATCCATCTTCTCAAACACCCATCACCAAAAGGCTTTAGAGTGAGACTAGTTCGTGAATTGCTAAACTCTGGATCTCCATGTCAGATCTTGAATTTAGCAAATGGAAACTTTTAGTCTTCTCCCCACACATTTTCCAAGACTATAATGGAATCTTAAAACAAAACAAAAAGGGACAATAGTTTCATACAATGGCTATCGTCACCCATTATGAAGGTACCTATAAGGAATACACCATAGTCTGATCATCACCATTTCCCATAAGGTGGAGGCAGGTAATCTCTCATGTAATTGTATAGAGGGGATGCATTGCTTTGTTACTTGGCTGATAGCTAGAATAATGAAAGACAGAATTTGCTGAAATGCCAGGACCAATATCCCCAATTTCACCATCAGCATCACCATCACCACAAGCACCACCAGCACCACCACCACCACCGCAACTCCAAATGTTTTAATCTTAAGGTTAAACATAAAGACTGAGAAAAATGGGAAGAAATGAGCACTTATCTGAATGTTTTGAAAGAAAACCAAACATGAGAGTCGGATCACTCACTAATCACTTAATCCATGGAGAACCATGGGAAAACTGTTGGTGCCATCATGGAATGTAGAAGAAATGAGAGTCCGTGGATATCAATTTTGCAGACAGCATTTTATTTATTAACAAAAAGTCTATGTAATCCTTCTAGACTACTGTAACTATTAAAGCTGCCATTTAAAATTTAAATTCATTAGGTTGCATGACAGGCCTTATTTTGCCAAGAGAAATTAGGCAGTGCTCTAAGATTCATTTCTACAGCAGAGTACTGACCATGACACTAGGAGTTTTTCATAACTGAGGGCAGAACCGAGCCCAATACAGAACCAAAGGGTGTGAGGGGCTCTGTCTTGCCAATATTGCCAAGGTTGGTATTTTCTAAGACTGTTTTTCTTGACGCCCTGGGATGGGCAGCTGAGGAAAGAGGCCACACACATGACGTTCTGGTTTTCTGTCGCCACAGCGGTGAGACCATCACAGCTGCCACCTCTCTTATATTTTGAGCTCTCATAAGATTTATTCTTCTTTGGGGAGGGGAAGAAAAATTTATGCTACAAAAAAAAAAAATGCACTAGTCGCTCATTTTCCACTGGGGATATATTCTAAGACCCCTAGCGGATGCCTGAAAACCACGCATAGTACTGACCCCTATATATGCCATTTGTTTCCTATACATGCAAACCTATGATAAGGTTTAATTCTTAAATTAGGCACCATAAGGAATTAATAACTGATGATAAAATAGAACAATTACAGCAATGTGCTATAATACAAGTTATGTGAATATGGCATTAGTGAGTAAGATAAGGGTGACTTGAACACAAGCACTGCAATACCATGAGAGTCGACCTGATCACGGAGATGGCTACTAAGTGGCCAAGGGTGGGTAGCATTTATAGTGGGGACGCACTGGACAAAGGGATGGTTCACATCCCAGGTGGGGACTGAGCAGAACGGCACGAGATTTCATCAAGCTACTATAAATAGAGCGCAATTTAAAACTTACAAATTGTTTATTTCTGGAATTGTCCACTTGAGATTTTCAGACCACAGTTGGCCCCAGGTAACTGAAATTGTGGCGAGCAAAACTGTAGATAAAGGGGGGGACTACTGTACATTTAAAATCACTAATCTTTAATAGGCCTTAGTGGTAAGAAGTACTTGAATAACTAGTTTTTTTGGCCAGAGTAGATATTTTTCAGTTCCTTTTTCTACAATGGTAGTTTCTTAATGCAAATGGAGAAACAAAGAAAAGCAGAAGTAGGGAGGACTGTTTGAGGGAAAAAAGTCTCATTCTAGGTCCATGTCCAACTTAATTGAATAAGTCATCTTCGGCCATCTCTTTGCCATTACAACAAGAGACATGGCACCTGTTCATTAACAGTAGGTTCTAGCATAAAGTTTTAAGTGTGCGTCATAACTAGAAGAGGTTTATCCACAAGCCCTTCACCAAAAGTAAAATCCACCAATCCATCACCAATATAATAATTTCAGAGTCAAGGTATTAGTATATGGAAATTATCTGCATGTTAGGTAAAACCTTACTAAATAGGCAGCATGTTAGTAGTTGAATCAAATAAAAAGGCTAATATTTAACTTTTTTGACCTACAAAAGTATCAATTTCATATGGATCAACTTAATATATCACAAGGTCGGAAACAAGGCAAAGAAAGAAATTCTACCGTAACAACCATGTCACAAAAATAAATGGAAATTACACTGACAAATGAAAGCATTCCTTATCTAAACCCAACCTAAGTTTACTCGCAGTAGAATGATGACGTGATAAAAGCCGCTCCCAAGTCACCAATCAGTCTAATCAGCCTACACAGAAAATGTTCCCTGCAACATGAAAGTGTGTGTTGTTTTTCTACATAAAGAAAGTAAACCAGATAGCGAATGGACAAATTACCTGGCAAGGAACCATCAACATTAAAGCTGGAATCTCCAACAGTACCTTCAGTAACTCCAAGGGACCCAGTGTTAGCAGGGGTCACCGAGGTGGGGGTTGTGTGCTCCTTTGTGTCTGGGAAATGAGTATAATCTTCCACTGAAGTAGCGGAATCTTCAGGAAGATTTCCACCTCCTCTTCCATCATTCCTGTCTGTGTGGAATCAATGGTAAGCCCACATTTGGAAGACCACCGCCCATCGTGTGCTTGCCTTTAGAACATGCGATTACCGCAAAAGCTTCCCACTTGTTACTTGTGAACACAGAGCAAAAGATAGTGTGATCTGTTACACTATTGCACAGAATCTGTATTTTGCAATTGACGACACCTGGACGTCACTCAGCAGAAGAGATTTTGGTGATCCTAATACCCAGAAAAGACATTTGTTGTAACATCTGCCTGGGTTATTAAAGTAAGGTTTACGCCACTACAACGGTGACCTCGATGTCAACTCAGGTACTAGATAATCTTAAGCTCTTATTCAGTTGGACCCACCTCTGATGGAGTGGAGGAAGCATGTCAGTGAGTGAAAAGGTAAAATTATGCTGTCTGTCATTGGAATAGCCAATGCAAAGACCGTGGCTTTATTTTTTCCTTTGCCAAAGGGCACTGCTTCTTACTCACCAGCTCCATGCATTTATGGTCCAGAGTTTAAATGGCAAAATAATATTGCTGATGCAAGGAAAGCAGAGAGTAATACAATTCAAACCTTTACACCAATTATAAATCATAAACAAGCAATCTAAGTTTAGAATTTAAGAAACCTGGCCATTAAGATGAAGAAATGTAGTTGCACTTAATGTACAATGGCTTCTAAAAAGTCTACAAAGCAGAAAAATCAGAGAACCGTCACCAGCACACCTTCTGATCAGAAGTAACAGCACAGTAACAGCCAGTGAATGTACCTCCACCAAAGACACTGCTCAAAGACACCCATAGCTGAAGCCACCTGGGCTTTACCATCTTTACTGCTCGATGTTGGTGTAGAAGTCACTGGCTGGTCTTTATCTTCTTCCAAGTCTCCGTGTGATGTAGAGAAGCTCTGAGTATGACTCTGCTCTGTTTCAATGGGGGATGAATCCAGCATTAATTCGGAGCCATAAAACAAATCCTGTTATCTTGCTAAGAGAAAGGATCTAGCCAAATAGTGTCAGACAGGTAGGAGAGTAAGAATGCCAAGGTTTGTGCACGCCATTCTCCTCTGATTGATAGAAATGTCCAAAAGAATTCTGTTTTGTCCTTAGTTGGTTCCTAAGACCCTTTGTGTTTTTTTTCAGTACAATCAACAAAGATAATGCACCCATATGAAACCTGAGCCAAAACTGTCTATCCCAGATCATCCTGACCCAATGGTGACATTGCTTCTAGTCACCGAGGAAAACCAGAGAACATAGAGGAAAGTAATGTTTGGGTCCCAGCATTCCTATCAACAATCAAGAGCACCTAGCTGTTTGTCAAGAAGTGTGCCTGCAGGCAAAACAAACACCGTGATAGTACATGGTATACCCGTAACCACAAAAGAGGAAGGAGTTCATCTAGAATAACTTGCTCAAGTAACTCAGATCAAATGTATAAAAGGAAATGTATAAAGGAGGGACTTTAGTCCCCCTTAAAGAACATTAAAGTTACCATTTCACTCTATTATTAGGTTTTTGATCTCTCCCATGGATGGGGGATTCTCATCACTGCCCTGAAACGCCAGGAAACGCTTGCCTGGGCAAACACAGGTCCCTCCCTGTAATCTACGCAATTTGAGGTTGAACCATTGCCCATATGTGAAATCGCTTTGACTGTTTTGAGTTAATTTCTTTTGTGTCCTTCTAAGAAAAGTACTGACCTCTGAGTTACAGGTGCAAGCATTCCATAAAGCACACCCAAAAGCCATGTCCACCACCAAGTAAACATTACTACCGGGAGAGAGACATGCACCAAATCCCAAACCCAACATCAGAACAAAAGTCAACAGGGACATAAAGTGGAAATACAAGACCCTCCACTGGCAGGGGCCGTTCTTTGGCTTATCTGCATCTCCTTTAATGCTTAACAATGTGCTAGTTACTTTCTTAATGATCAATGCATGCTTGTTGATTTTTTTTCTTTGCTTAAAAGGGCTTTCATAAAGAACTCTGTCCATTATGTGCAGCAAGCAGTGAAATGAGGCCTTCTTAATTCTGGATTTCTTTCATAGTCTGTCAATAAATTATGAATGACTTTAGGCTGATGTCTAGGATAGCCCTGCACATATAATGGAAATTAAGGTTGCTAGAAGTTTAGCATTGCTTCTACCAGACATTTAGTAATAGGAAGAGGTATTAGCAAATGTTCTCCTTTTGTACCTGGGCCCCATCACCCTCATCAATTGTCAACAACATATATTGCCCCTCTTCTATGGGCTGATGTGATTTCCCTATGTTCTGTGATTATATGGTCCAAAATTGTCTTTTCACGGCCATTAAAACAATATTACCCCTCTTCCGCCTTGATTGAAGAAAAGATGGAAATCAAAAGGGGTTGGTCAGTTAAAACATAGAAAAATCACTGTCCTAACCATGGTCTTGGGTGACACTACCATAATAACTTAGGGAAGGAAAATCAAGTTGAAGTTCCCACATCCGTTTTTGTTTTTTTTAAAATATAGTCATTGAATCTGGAAAGCACCAAGAATAAAGGAAAAATCACATTTCAAGAACTCCACCAAGAAAATATAGAAATGAAGACAGCTTTTATGTTCTGGGCTGAGCTGAGTCACAAAGCACTAAATGCACCATTCCACCACCAAGCTCTGAATCTGGGCCAGTGTGAGCAAGAACAGAGGCAGGAACACGGGTCAATAAAGGGCTGAGTGTCATTATCCTTACGAGTTGTCATTGAAAGAGATTCTTTCCTGTCCAAGTCTTCCACCAAACCTGTGTTTGGATCTGCAGAAGGCTGAGGTGTTGTACTATGGCTGGAGTCCATATCTGAAGGAATTAAATCAGTATTATTGTTTGATTTCCTAAACCACTACCTGAAGGTGATTTATGATCTGTAGCCAAATTATTCTTATATTCAAACCTGGGTAAAAGGAAAGAAAGCACATACTGATTCATGTTTCCAGAACTGGAACAGATTATGGTTTCTTCAAAAGACATCACGAGAAGTAACTGGCTTTCATTGAAAGGTTGAATTGTATGAAAGGTACACTTTTTGTTTATTTTTGCTGAGTCTGAAAGGACTCTAAATGAGCACATGATGGGCCACCCAAACCTTGCAGAGAGACACACATAAACCATGTGTGACTTATCCCACTCCATACACATTGCCTGTCTTATAGACACATGGGATCCAACACATGGAGAAAGGACAGAGTGCACTGGTTCAGGCACCATTTTGCCACACCCCTTACTTGACAAAAGAACTTTTTTTACAGCCCTCTTTCCTCATTTGGTCTCTTCCACTGCACAAAGTGACCATGCAAATAAAACATAAACTCATCACTCAGTACTACCTTGTAGAAGCCATGGTAAGTATTCAAGGGCAAGAAATAAGAAGCAGTGGATGTCAGTGAATCAGTCATCCTGTCAACACAAATATGTGGTATCTTTGGAAATTAACATGTACAGTGTTGAGTGGTACAGAAATTTCACTGAAATGTTTACAAATGCTTTTTAAATAATCATCACAAATCAGTTCTGTTGAAATAACAACAGAAGTAAGTGAAGTAAAGGCCAAATAACCTATAAACACCATCATTATTGTTGGCGCTCTGATTCAAAGTCCACCCACATTGCTGCCTCTAGGGAGATTTAATCTGTTCCAGATGACTCTGAAGGGAAAAACTGGGATATTGGACACCCACATCTACACTACAGCCTTTACATACAAAAAGAAAAGAAAATCAATATCTTAAGAAGAAAAAACATGGCTGACTCTATTATCCCAGATTTCAAAAAAGAGGAAAGTCTAGCTAACCTAAATCAAAACCCCAAATGGATATTTTCCCAGAAAAAGTCCTGCCTGTTGATGGTCTCTGGATGCTCCTGTTATCTTCCCTTTTATCAGTAGAATCCTTCATGAGCTAACACACCACTCTATGGTTTGAGCCAATATTATTGTCCTTGACATGGTCATCAGTTTAATGGAATCTCTTTTGGTTCATCAGTAAGGAGACTTAATACTGATTCTGCAGTTATTCAACTGCTTGGTTTTCTACCAGCATATCATCAGAGCTTTCAATAGCCATGTGCAAAAACATGTGTGTGGCGCTGTATGTGGTACTTCAGCCACTCAACATGATGGCCACAGCCTAGCCATTCAAACTCATCTCCCTTTATGACAAATGGATCCATTCACTCTAACAAATTCATTTCCTGGCTTTCCTTCCTCTATGTGTCTCCTTACATGAGTCTTCTTCCTACAAAAACTTCCACCTTTCCCTGATGCTCCCTGGAGGGTCCTCTGAATTTCTTTGGTGTTATTGTTGGCAACATTCATTTGGCATCTAGTACTTGCTCTCTCTCATTGCTAAATATATTTTGGTGCTAAATGTTTTCTTTCCCTAGTTAAAATTTAAGTTCCTTAAGAGCATGGACCACGAATTATACATTGTTGTGTCTCCACAATGACTTGTACATTAGCTGATATTTAATACCAATGTAGTTTCTAATCACTAATACTTGGCACTATCTGATCATTAATATTTGGGAATGACAGAAACAGGGGGTTCTAAAGGTGTGAAACCATAAAAACTCTTGGATTCATCTTGGAGATAACTTTGTTCAATTCACTGCCAAGAGGCATGGTCGCTGTGCTCTGAGAGCTCATTTCAATAAGGCTCGTGTTGTGTATACCCTTCACAGTTTGGATCTAGATTATTCAATGCCATGAGTAATAATTCGCATCCTCATATTGGTTCATTGGTTTATCTCCCTTTTTTGGAATGTTACATTTCTGTGACCAAGATATCTTGTTAAGTAACAAAACAAAACTTGAGTAACTCTTCATGGGTATAGTAAGGAACATAGATTCTTTAATGTAGTAAAGACTGAGAAAAGGAAAGTTGTCGTCTGTCCTAATAAAGGAAAAATTCTTTTTAAATATAAAAATTGGTCAAATGAAATCACAATCATCCATTCTTACAGAACTACAACTAGTATATTTTTTACTCTCTTGTTTAATTCTGTTTTTAGATTGCTTATAGGTATGTATGAATGGTGTTTAAGAAAACAGAGATTCCATTCTGTATAAAAGTTGTCCATTTACGAAATTCACAAACATTTATCGAGGGCCAGGAGTGGTCTAAATCTTAGGTCAAGGAGTACTGTATCTATCTCTTAATATGGCAAGAGTAAACAATAAAGTTTTCTGAGCTTTTTAGTTATTTGTTCAGAATGAGCACTCACCAATTTTTTGACCTCTAAGATTTCTCTACCAAACACAAGTTATATCTTCAGGTCTACAATGGAAATAGTCCCTGAACTCATCACTTCACTCTTTTAAAAACCTTGCACTTAGGAGTAAATGAAAAAGGACTCTTGACACTGTTCCTTCTTCAGAGGAAATGACTTCCACTCCTATCATTTTAGGACTAATTCTTCTTTAACTCTCCTGCCAAATTCTTCACTCTCAGCTCAGCACTTCAAATTCAGATAAGTGGGCATATTACTTCTACAAAGAAAACAAATTTTTGAAGAAGAAACTTCAATTTCCTCCTTAGGAAAATAGGCTGGTCTGAAACCAAGGGCTTATTTCTAGGAAAATGGCCATTTGGATTTTTTAAAAAACATAATATAGAAAGATTCAGAGGCTATTACCCATTCTTTCTGTTTGATGACCTCGTCCTATTGGATGTGAGATTGGGTCCCAAAAATAAGTCCGGGAACTGTCCTCTTGACTCGGCGTTGTCATTCTTTGATTTGGATGGCTGTCATGGGCTGAGGCTGTTGTAACCATGCATTTCAAGCAATTGTCAAAGTGTTAGTTGATATCTGACCAGTATGTTTTTAAAAAATCTGGACAAGACAGTGAAAACATCTTCCTAGTATTGAGGGCCAGAAAGTTGCATAAAGATAGAATGTTTTAGCAGGTATGAGTTCTGATGCTCATTTTCTTAGCAATCAGGATGTGAACTGGAGGACACAAAAGCATTAATGACTTCTCCAGTGGACAGAATATGAATGATAGACATCAAGTGAAGGTGAAGAAGTAGTTCTCAACCTGTGCCATGTCGCCACCATTCCCAAAAGGAGGAAGGATAAAAGTCCAAGCACATAACGTCATTCCGAGCCAACCACATCCTAGTGAACTGCACATTAGGATGGCAGTGATTTAGAGAAGGAAATCAGGTAACAGCTTCTCATGAGATAAACATGAAAGGAAATGCCATTCATCTCAAAAGCATGAATGAAATCCATTAGAAGCATTACCTTCTAACAATGAGATTTATGGCATAAATGACATCTAAGAATGTAGCACGTGCTTTTGCTTCATTTTGTGCCAATGAAGATGTATAGGTAGGGAAGATTACAATATTAGCCCCTTCACAACAACCAACCACACCACATAGCCAGTCACTGAATTTGTTGCTCTGCCAGGAATGCATTCAGAAGTTGCCACATACTGGAAGGGCATTGTGCATTATTTTCCACATTGCAAATGGAAACACGGGGATATTTCTCACTACACTAACTGAGAATACAATTCTTAAAAGGAATTCACATTCTTTTACAAGGCAGGGAGTAATTCAATGTTTCTGTGATGCAAACAAAAGAATCACGGATAGGAGTTCACAGAGTCAAGTTGTCTGGCCTCACTTAGACATGGTGACAAGACTTGAGTCCAGTTTCCACAATCCTACAATTCAAGAATAGAGGAGGTGTAATTTTTTGTAAATCTAAGAAAAAACCTTGTACATTCAAGGAGAAATCTCCAAACATACATGACAAAAGGCCTAAATGACATCAGACAGGTATTTTTCTCAAAATGTCTGGCTCCATTGCTTCAAACATTGGGGTTCTGACCAAATGTTTTCTAACCAGCCCTGTATTTTATAGAACCATGCTATAAAGTGTGGACCCACATCACAGTAGGTTCCTTTATAAAACAAAAGGGAGTATTTTATAAGGTCAGAGTCTCTGCTACAATCTCACCCCGGGATGCCCCAAGCTAATCTGAAAGTGACATACACAAAGGTGTATTGTCTGTGTCTCCTTTATGTGCTAATGTCCATAATGTTCAGGCGATTTGTTATAAGCATTTAAGGGTTGGCTCTGTGTTGACCACACCATAATTTATTAAGGAACCTTAACATCTCGTGACAATTCCTTCAATGTTTTATTTGTTAGGTGTCCTCAATGTTCAACATGTAACTCAAGAGGAAGTTTCCAGTCAAATTTGCTTGTTAAACTATCCATGACCAGCTGTCCCTGCTGCTGAATAAGAGTCTTCTTTGGGTGTCTGGAGATGTTCTCTATGCCATTGGTTTGCAAACCACTGCTCTTTCGAGGTAGCTATTTCTTCCATTACACTACTAGGGGTTGCCAGGGGTTGCTGTGAGAAGAATTTCAGCTGTGGGTCATTCTTTTTCGGTTTCCTCACCAACACTCATCTTTTTATTTTAAGGGCATATACACGTGGGAGAGAAGGTAGAAAAGGAAAGCAGCATGGAGAGAGACCACTGATATTCTGAAAGGGATATTAGAAATCAAATGGCCCAATCTTTTAATTTTTCAGATGTGAAAACTAAGGCCCATAGAAGTTTTTATTTGATCAAAGTCCCATAGCCAGATTGGCACAGTCAGAACTACACCACGGTTGATGAATTCCCAGCATTATTTATATTTTTCTAGAGCCCATGGCTTCATAGATCCTGTCTGAGAGAATTACTCAGAGGATTAACCTCTTTAGTCCAGTGATTTTACTATAAGGAACATATTACATAAAACAATAGATGATATGATAGCCTAGTAGGAGGCCTCTGAAATGGTGGTCATGTGACCCCTCATCACAGGCACTGGAAATTCTCCAGCAGTGGATCTGCCCAGCTCAGAGGATGCTGGGAATGATTGGGATGCTCTTCCACTGGCACATTATGAGGTTACACCTATGTGGCATCAAAAATTGCCACATTTTTAACAAAAATTTATTTTTTAACAAAATTAATTCAGTGTAAGAAAACTACTCTCGCCAGTGTTTGGCATGTAAACAATCAGAATGTATGAGGGGCTTAAAATTTCATCCATTCAGTGTTGTAATTGTCCAGCTTTTAAAAGAATAAAATGAATGGAATGAAACTGTATCAGGGTGCCAATGGGAAAAATTAGAGAGCCACCGACATTTTCATTGAGGGCAACTAATAGCAGAGTCGCAGTTCTCAACAAAAAGCTTATAAACTTGCTGAGTAGAAGTATATTTTGCCACTTGTAAAACTGGTTGAATTTCATTACTTTAGAAAATACATGTGATTTTAGAGTAGCAAAAACATTTAAAAAAATAAAACTTATTGTCCTCGTTCTCCCCTAGAATTGGCGAAAACATTGCTGAGGTTAATTTGTTGTCAGGTGAGAGGGGAGAAAACCCCAAATCTTAAGTTTTACTTTCCACTGTTGGAATCACTGCCTCCTGAGAAGTAATGAGGTTAGAAAAACCACTGAGTGTAATTACAGAAAAAAAGCGCAAAAATCCAAACATGAACTGCCTATTCAAAGTTATTTAAAGAAAGAAAAGAAAAAAAAATGCACCC